TAATGGAATTCTGTGCATGAAAGAATTAAAGGACCTCAGGTGATGGGAATTCTGAGATTTTCATAAAACTATGGTATTCCTCATTATTATAACATGTTAAAAATGCACGTGCCCTTTTTGTAGCTAGTGAAAGAAGACGTCGATGTGACTGAGTGACGCTCGTGAAGTTATAGCCTGTGTGGCATTTTTGTAGCCTGTGTGGCTTGTTTTTCTTGAGAGCTAAGTAAATCCTTCCCTTTCTCCAATGTCTCGTGTGCTCCACAGACGTCGCAAGCTAACATTTCAGAAGTAGGATCTCGCCATCCAATCGCTGCTGAGAGTACATGAGAGTTTTATCAGTGCACGGAGCTAGTATACTTAACCTTAAATTGGAACACACCGATGACGGAGACAACCCGACTGGCGGTGGAGACACAGCATCTGGCCATTGCGACACTATCTCAACCCGTGACCTATTTCAAGCTCTTCAAGAAAAGGATCGCTTACTAGCAACTCTGCTGGAACGACTGTCTGTGGCCGGCGCGGCGCAACCTCGACCAACACCAACCTTCCAGGTGATTGCCGACTTAAGCCACAACATTAGTGCCTTCGACTGCTCCGAGGTACTCGGCCGCTGACCCGTAGATCACGGGATCGAATCCCGGCTGCGGCGGCTGCATTTCCGATGGAGGCAGAAGTGTTCTAGGCCTGTGTGCTCAAATTTTGGTGTACTTTAAAGTACCCCAGCTGGTCAAAATTTCCGGAGCCCTCCACTACGGTGTCTCTCATAATCATATGGTGGTTTTGGGATGTTAAACCCCACATAATCAATTTGGCGGCTTCGAGGATGCTCTATCGGCACTTGAGTGGAATGAGAATATTCGTCGCATGTCTAACCTTCACGAGTGGCCAGCTGCGTACACGCTAGAAACTGCCAAGTGCCGACTGGTAGCTGCTGCCAAGGACTGGTACCGTTCGAGGAGCTCCCAGATCACGTCGTGGGAAGAGTTCGAGACCCGCTTCCGTTGGGCCTTCGTCAGCCAGACTCGCGTTGAGGAAAGATGGCGCAGGATGCAAGAGCGTGTGCAGCAGCGCAACGAGAGTGCGACCGCCTATTTCCATGCCAAGGTGCATCTGCCCCATGAAGTCAACCTCGACTTTACGGACACGCGAGAATAAGTCTTCATGGGGTTGAGGTCTCGCGAACTCTGCACCATGCTTTTAGGAAGGGCGCATGACGACGACAGCGACGACCTTCCTCACGACACCGTGGAGTTCGAGCGCATCGAACGTGAACGGCGGCCGCAGCCGAAGCTTTGCGTCATCACCAGATTCGGAGCGAAGCCTGCCCATGCCAAGTAAAGAGACCGTCAACTCGAACCAGGGAGCAGATCGACACCTGGGATCGTCGTCCGTGAACCATTACAGTGAGCGAAAATGCTATAACTGCAATGTCTACGACCACATCACACGCGATTGCCCTGAGCCTGTGTGCCCGCTCAATTGTCAGCGTAGCTAAATGACTGATCACATTCAATGCAACTGCGAGGCTTTTCTGCATAATGAGACAAATGCTGTCAGAGAACTTCCTTGCACCAGGGCTGGTCATGTGTTGCTCAAGAAAGGGACGTTCAACGATGAATTTACCCTAGTAGCCCTTATTTATACATGGGGAGTTTCGGTTGCTTGTTGCGTGCGTCAGAGGCGGCACGATGCGGCATCGAGATGGTTTGGGAACCGACTGAATTGCATGGTTTTGGCAGCCAGCATGTACCCATGATGAGAAGCCTCGGTCATCGTAAGGCTTATGTGAGCATAGACGGAGTTACTGCAGAAAATGTGCCTGTTCTGATAGTCCGCGACGATGCACAAAGAATTGACATGTTAGTGGGCCGAACGTTTACCAAACTGCCCAACGTCACATATGACAAGGTGGGAAGCACATTCCGCTTTTACCACCTAAACGATTCTCCTTTTGCTCGTCTGGTGTCATCGGTGTAGCAGCTTGAACTGCACGTGGCAGCCAGAGAAGAACGTGAGCTTCAAAAGGATTCTGTGAACTACATCTCTACATCCAGTGATCGCTCTGTGACCAGTATTCAAGGACACTGTGGACGTGATGTCCTTCCTGGGAGGAAATCTGAAGTCACAGCGACTATTGTCCTGAGCAACTTGTTTGGGGTATCAGATTGAAAGCAGATTAGTGTAATAAGAACAACTCAAGCAAGAGTACTGGCAAGTCATGGCTACAAGTCAAGTTTTTGTGTAGCGCAACTTCAGCAGCTTTGCGATACAGAAATCCCTTCGCACCCAACCCGGGAATTAAGACCACATGTGTGTCAATGCTTACTAGTGGATCCCAAGTGCCCGAAGGATGCCTGCAATCACCAGCGCTACTCTCTAAAGCACTGTGAAGTTGGTGAAATGGTAATTGGGAGCAAAGGACCCTGCAAACGCTTGTTATACGACTACAACTCAACCGAAACGTGATGGACCACTCGTTGACACACACGCTTTTCCTGCGGGTGCATCGCTAACTGACGGGAAAGGCCGATATTCAGGAGCTGCCTACGCCTTACTACAAAAGAAGTGGTATCCTCCATATAAAGCATCACATCATGACAATGTCGCATCCGGAGAATCACAACAGGACCAAGATAGTTCAGTGCGACATTTTCAGCCCAAACTCGTATAACCAGCCAGGTTTCGAGACTGCATGTCGTGATTTTATTATTTTTTCTCTGTCTGTGTGTTTAAAGAATTGCACTGTGCCAAGTTTTTATGATGACAAGTTTTTGTGTTCTCAATCTTTTATTACTTTGTGGCTTTCTGCATGGTCAAGGCAGTCAAAATGGCCGGGAGATATGACTCTTATTCAATGTCTGACGTTACAAAGTGGTCAATTTTTCAGTGCTGTGATGAATTTTGGATGTCAATGTTGGGGGTTGTTTTGTTATTTCGGTTCATCTTGTTCCTATCAAGTCATTGATTAACCAGTTATAGGAGGATGGCCGAACGACTGCATGTGCAAGTTATCTGATCAACTTGGCAGAGAGCGACTTAACGAGGACATAAAGCATTGCAAGATGGCCGAATGTTAAAAATGCATGTGCCCATTATGTAGCTAGTGAAAGAAGACGTTGACGTGACTGGGTGACGCTCGTGAAATTTTGACCAGTGTGGCATTTTTGTAGCCTGTGTAGCTTGTGTGTGTTTTTTTTTTTTTTTTTGAGAGCTAAGTAAATTGTTTTCTTTCTCCAACGTCTCAAGTGCTTCAAAGATGGTGCGAGCTAACAATTATGTTTTTGGAAGATACAACCCCAGTGGTTAATATTGTTGCATGCATGCATATTGACATTCTCTGCTACTAAGCGCTTGTGTGCCTGGCGAAGAGGACAAAAGGCTGTCTCTGCTTAGTCACTGGTTAACCTGCCATGCCGCAACTGCTGGTTAGAAATATATATTATCTACAGCCCTGTTCACCCGGCGTTTCATCTTTCACGTAATATATTTGGTGGAGGTGCACCGTTCCGCCTCCAGCCATGGCTTTTAATGATCACAAACCTGGCGCGCCAGCTACTCCGTACCTTACGATGTCCTACCTCTGTGATTCTGGTCATTCTCGGACCAACCTGGCCTTGACGCGGACTACTAGTTCCCAATGTACAAGCATGTTAGCCAGACTCATCGATGGGACTCCACCATGATGCTCACCAACGTGATCCTTTATTTGTACGGCATCCCGCGTGTATGGTTCGATTCTCATGAGACCGAGCTCACCAGCTGAAGCATCTACAAAGAATGACTGCGTGACATCTTTGCAGACCCATCCGGTTGTCAAATGGCCACACGAAAAGGCCTCACCACCTGTGTGCGGTCATCAACAGAGTCGTATGTCTCGTACATACAGGGCATGCTCACGTTGTGCCGGAGAGTGGACGAGCAAATGACCGAGAGTGACAATGTGAGCCACATACTCATGGGCATCGCAGACGACGCTTTCAACTTGCTTGTGTAATCCAACGTCACGACCGTCGATCAAAGCGGCATTATAAAAAATGCCGCCGCTTCGAAATGTGCAAAAGCCGCTGAATTCTGCCTCAATTTTCGCTGCTGCCAAACACGGCCATCACGTCAACGTGCACCGACCTCAATGCGACACCATCCTTGCAAGAGAATGTGACACGTGTCGTTCAGTGGGGGTGTGAGGAGACAAGTCTGGCGCCGTTTCATCCAGTTTCAGTCGACCATGGCACCGTCCAAACACCTCCGGCAATCTCGGTTATTCAAGCAGTCGTGCGGCAAGAAATAACCAAGCTCGGTTTTCCCGTCACCTGCTCCGACCCGACTCCAGACCGATGCCAATGAATGCACCGCTCCATAACCCATAATTTCTGCCCAGATCCCTCAATCCAACCGAATAGAGAACTGTAGACGACAAACTAATCTGCATCCACTGCCGCTGAGTTGGCTATGTCTCCCGCTACTGCCGCAGCACTTGGACGCCCCCACATTGAAGCCAATTCTTTTTTTCTCATCCATTCGCGGACCCCGTGGGTATTCGCCTAGTCAAGTGTACCCTTCTTCCGGCGCACCTAACAGCCGCTCTACTGCTCGTTTGCGTCGCCTCAACGCCGCCATTCCCCACTGACCAACTGTGGATCCCCTCGGGCGGAAAACTAAATCGTGCAGCTCCTGGAGGTAGTGCTGCATCAGTTGCGACTGACCCAAATCCTGTGTCACACAGAATGTCAATACATATGCATGTAGCAATATTATTTGAAAGGACAGGTCTAGTAGCACGGTTTTCTTGGTTTCCTCCTGTCAATGCGAGGTGACAGATTTTTGTGGGCGCTTTAAGATGCATGCAGTTATTTTAACTCGAAGCTGTTATTGTGGCTGTCGGTGGAGACGGCTTGCAACGCTGGCCTGACTCCAGCATTGGCAGATGCACCCATCACCACGATGATTGATAAAGAAACCACATTGAAGGTGCGCTCGGCTGCCTTTTGTCTTTCCAGGAACAAATTGAGGAGTTCCAGACCAAGCACAAGGTCAAGATCGAGGGCGAGGGAGTTTCAAAGCCGATCCTCAAGCTCGAAGAAGCTGGTCTTCCCGGTGAGTTTGGTGCTTTGCATACAACTGCGTGGTGGGGTTTTCTTGTTTCAAGTTGCGTAGATTTAGTTTCAGAGTCAACTTACGTATGGCGCAGTATCCTGGATGTTCTTTAACTTGTTAACAGGACCGACGACTGATTATTATGGTACCTATTTTTGCTTAGCGCAACGAAAGGCTTACTTGCCAGAGTGTCTGGTCATGGTGTGGTAACGTGGAAAGGTTTCGAAACATTTGCAATTGGAATTTTTTTTTTTTTTTTTAGCAGCGAATATGAAGTCATGTACACGTAACACATTCTGCAGACAGGGAGTGGTTCGAGCCCACTGGCTTACTGCTCATGCCTGCACTCCAGGTGCATGTGCCATGCCTCGACTTGGTCCACTGGTAGCCACATCTCACTGCGCAACTCCTTTTACATCATATGCAGAGCTAGATGAAAGTATACATGCTCTTAATTTCAAGAACTGGCCTGCATGACAGCATCAGTCTGCACGACTACGCACTGCAAAGTGATCGGCTCTCAATCCAGCTTCAAGGTTCTTCCGCTAGGCTCTGCGGCATTACGGTTTTCGTTACTTTAAGCACAGTTTAAAGATAGAAATTAGTGTCACAATGTAAAAAGAATGCTGGAATCAGTTGCTACATTTCACAGTCATTACATTTCTGCGAAGACCTAATTGCACGTTCTGGCCATTTATCGGTCTCTTTGAAGGAACACAGAAGTCAACTATTAAGTGGATGTTGATTGTTAAAATTGCGGTCCAGAAGCCTCTTAGTGTTACTTTTGTGTCAAGGAAGGGCCTATTTTCAAACAAAACTATGTTTTAGTGGTTCGCACCGGGTTAGCGCACTTCAAATTACCCGCCTCAAGAAGCGGATCGACTCGCGTCACTGTTGCCGTGCACAATGTTGCCCGGCTTTACTGCGCTAGTAGCAGCAGACCGAAAGCAGCGGGAGCCACAGCAGCAACAACGGCTATTGATCAATTTCCCGCCATTGGCTTCGAGATTGCAGCCGTTTTTTGTTTAAACTGCGCCCCACTAGATGGCACCACCTGTCCCGTGGAACCACTCGCGCCATTCCTCATAGTAACGTGCAGCGTTTTTTTTTTTTTTTTTTCATGAATCAAACAGAAATGAACAAGCAGCATTTTATTGCGTCTCTTGATGCACGGAAGGCTGTTTATTTAGTGCAATTAAATCGATTACTAGTGAATAATTGTAGGCAGTCCGTCTGATGTCATTCAGATCATTTTGAAAATGTCCTACTGCGGCACTTGTGTTCTTGTGCATTTATCCTAATTCTGGGTAAGGGCACTGTTGCTGATAATTGTCGTTTTAGATATTGTCATACGTTGAGCTTTCAATCTGACGTAAATTTTTATTTGACTTTAGTGTCCCTTTAAGGATGACACAACAACCCATTGAAAGAAAGGGGATGGGTGTCACGCCAAAGCACAAGAAGAGAGCATGGTGGGTCAGAGAATAAATGTGTTAGGGAAGTTTTAGTTGATATCAAGAATACATGGGCAGGTCATGTTTACTTGGCGACAAGTTTTTTTTTTTTTTTACAGCGCTCTGGAAACTACAGAACCGCGCCAAAAAATAGTACTTAAGATTGCTGGTGATTTCTTTCCTTTGCCTTGCTAAAATAAGTGCTGCTTTATTCATTATGAAACTCAAACGGTTTCAGGAAGTCGTAGGTAAAAAAACATTCTTTTAGCGTTCACTTTTCTGGAATGCCTTTCTTTTCTCTTCATTAGAGAGCACAGTCTTTTAAGAACACAAATTTTCTCGTGTAGACATGTCGTCCCCGACGATCTGTGTGTGTTCGCAAATACCCTGTTGAGTTCTTCAAGAAGACTGTAACTCGTATTGTGAAGCAAAAATGTACATTGAACGATTGAAATGTTTCTTAAGTTTGCTTTTTCATGTATATAACTTTCCAAGAATGTGAACAATGCGAGCGAGCAAAACCGAGAGCTGCTGTATTATTTGTGCAGCAGCATGAATGTGTGGAAGCCCTAAACTCCGTAGCCTTCACTCTATTGTCCAGATAAGTTGTCGCCAAATATAGTGAGAAAGAAGACAACTGCTGGTTGTTACGAGTAACAGGCTTCATTCCAAGAGAAGGCAAGCGTGTCACGTGGAGGCCAAAAGTTAAGGGGGCATATTAGATCAAGGAGTTGGTCGGTATGTGGCCTCGGCACGCACAGTACAGGGTTAGTCGGGGAATGTAGTGTGAGGTCTCTGGCCTGTGATGGGTGCAGTCGGGCTTACGGTGATGATGATATGCGACTCTTGTTTCAGAGGAGTTTGTGAGCAAGATCAAGGATGTCCTGGGAAGTTCGTTACCTGCGCTAGCCTCGTACGGACTGCCGGCACTGCTCAGCAACCGAGACTTCATTGGACTGGGTGACTCCTCCATGTCGGAGAAGGTCATTTCGGTGAGTTAGTTTGCCTTTCTGTCTCACATTGTGCATCGGCTCTGACTATGTTCTGCTTTACGCCGTGCCTTTAACATGGCGGTCGAGGTTGGCTGTAGCTTTGCTAGATTTGTGTATTCAAATAGCTGTTTTTTGGTGCCTGCAAGCTAAGTGGCAGTGCAGCCTCAGAAGCCTTCAATAAGTAAGCTTAGCTGGTGGATTTGCTTGGAAATTAGCCGGGAGGCCCATAGCACTTGAGTGGTGCAAGAAGCTATGTTGCAGCGTGGTTACTGGAAAATGTAACACAATTCAAGGAAACCTTCTGGTTTATCAGCAGGTTCACTTTGTTCTCTTGAGTTAAGCACGTATTGTGACGCATCATCCAAACTTTTTTAGACTCAATTTTCATGATGCAGTCTATTTCGAGGACTCTTTTGACCGCACTTTTTCTTTGTCATTGTTTGTAGCCCTGATAGTTGGGCGAGTTGGGGTGGGTTGATGTTGCTGTGGGTATCAGCGTTTGCATCCATCGCCCGGCAACAAAAAGAAGTATGGTATTTGAGTTTACAAGCATGGTGAAACCTTGCTTGTTGTATTACCCCCCCCCCCCCCCTTTTTTTTTTTTTTGGGTGGCCACATGCCTGTATATATATATGTGTGTCTACGTGAGTAAAGATTACTAATTGTGAGTCTGATGCCCGACCATGTGTTTTCATTTTTCATTGTTTGGTGTCTCGTGTTCTTTGCCGTTCTTAACCATGAGTCTCATTGTTCATTCACAGTTTCTTCCATCTGTCGTCATGCATTGCCAGCGGAACATCAAGAGTGACGCAAAGGGCCCCGTTGTAAGTTCCTGCTTTCTGCGGCCTTGCCAGCGTCCGACAGTTTCTACTGTGTGACGTACCGCCAAAGTTGTGAGAACGCTCAGTCATTAAATGCTCGTGGGACTTTCTTTCAGGCGCTTCTGCTTGCGTCCAGTTGTAGGCAGGTGCGCGACATCTACAAGTACTTCCGGGACACTGGCCGGTCGCTGGACCTGGAGTGCCTCGAAATCTCGGAGGAGACCTCCAACGACCGTGAAGACTTCCAGTCAGGCAAGCGGTGTTTGTACTCCATGAGGTAGGGGTGTGTGGGTGTTTGAAAACTTCGAATTGCATTCTATTCCAGGAGTTCTCAAAGTGGGTTCCACGGAACCTAAAGGTTCCAAAGGCCCTTTAAGAGTTTCGCGAGCCAGTGATACATTTTCCCTGGTTCCGCGCTCTTGGATGGCGATCCCTAAGTGTGATCTATTTAGGGAACTTTCACTGTTCACGCCTGGGCGTCTATAAGCACACCTTAGTGCTTTTATTTTGATTGGAAACGAAATATAAAGAAAGCTCGCCGGATGTAGGGGGTGATTCCTTGGCACTTATTGTAGCTTAGCAGGGTTCCCTGTCGCCAACGTGCTTGAGACCCCCTGTTCTGTTAAATTGGGTACTCAAACCAGAATGGGCGTGCGGTCGCCAACTGTTTGACTGGTTGTCTTGCTCGCCCTGAGATGGCGCAATAAGGGGCTGTGGTTGGTTCTCGTTCCCGCTTTAGCACACTGCACGCAGCCGACGGAGTGCATAAGCCACGCGCTCACGTGTTCCCTTTTCATGAAAATTTACAGTCTACAACCACAAATCCCCGATTTCTGACTACCACAGCAGCATGGCTGAGTGAACTTTAGCACCAAATTGAATACCATAAAAACCTGTATATAGCCTGTTTTTTTTTTCTAAATTTTATTATGTAAAACTCGTGTGATAGTGATGACACAGTGTCATTGCTATCAGATAATGGTGACGGACCACAAGTTTGCATAGAATGCCTTCGTGCGCAACTGGGCTGTGCGAGCTGTAATTTGTTGGCTTGGGAAGTGCAACTTATGATGTCCCACTGTCGTTACGAATGTTGACGTCGAGTCAAAGTAATTTTGAAGATGAAAATAACTGAGTTGCGTCCTTACACGTGTAGAGGCCTGTGACTACGAGCGTGACAAAGGCAGGAGATCAGCTGTATGTCGACCAGGAAAAGTTTCCTTGGAGCGAAAATGTGAAAATACTAGCCGGCTGAAGGTACTTTGTGGGGATAGAGCAGGACTAAGGTAACGATCCTGATATGTATGCATGCGATCGAGGCGTATATAGAACCGCGTGAGCTTCCAAGAGAAAAAAAATCTAGACCATCTCCCCGAAAGGAACTCTGATGGGATGCGAAGCAGCAGCGGTGCGCACGGCGTTGACCCAGATGAAACAGGCGTCGATGTGGGTGCTGGAAGAACGGTTTGAAGCAAAACTCTGTGTAACATTTACTCGAGCAAACGTTTGTTTGAAACGCAAAGACGCAGGAGGTGAGACGCGTTAAAGACGCTTGTGCTTGGCTTCCTTGGCTCGCGGCTCATCGGTGTTACCAGCGCGCAATCTGTGTTCTCGAACGCGATCAGTGTTCTCGACTCGCACTTCGTGGGTGTCGCTGGTCTTCCACTGCTGACGCTTGCGTTCGGCTTTCCTGGCTGTGCTAACGTCGCCATTCGCGACCGCAATTGGCTTCGCTAACCCTTGCAACGCCAACGACAGCTGGGAAAGGTAAGCGGACACTAGCGGGAAGCGTGCTGCGCCGGCGTTCCGCTCGTTGGCGCGGTTGCCCGGCAAGCAGCGGCGCGTTGTCCACATTGTCGGCATTGCGAGATTCTCGAGGTGTGCACACCCGCCGGCTCGCGGCTTCTTTTCGCCGACAGATGGAGAGAAGTGGTGTGGGTGAGATGATGCCCACATGAGGAGTGGTGGAGAGGGGGTGTGCCACAGGGGAGGGAGTGATATTTCACTGCACTGCTGGGAGGGCGTCAGCTACTTGGCACCGCTCCAACACTTGCGGCGAGGGGATCGGTGTGAATTTTCCATTCTAAGAAGACATCCCGTCTCTATACTTTTCGAAGCTTCAATGTATGGGAGTGCAAGTTTATATTTTGCACTCATTAATGTTTGGACTACATTTGATTCGAGTAAGAATGTTTTCTTTTTTTTTTTCTGAAGGAATCTAAAAATCGTAAAGCTGGGGTCAGCGTAAAACTGCGTTGTATAACCAATGTTTTTAATATGTTACTTCTATGGGGATTTTGCCAAGACAACTGATTTGTCGTAAAATGGGGGTTGTTGTGAAACCGGGGGATGCATAAATGAAGTTCCACTGTGCCTACACACGTATTGTTTGTTCCTTACCATAGGGATTTCACTGCATATATCCATAAGGAACAGAGTTACTAGAATTGTCAGTTTGGAAACTTTTAGTGAAATGTAACAGGTTTCCTCTGTTACCTTCTTTTTTTTTTCCGGCTGCATTTAAAAGCATTCATTGTGTATGCGAGTTTTTGTTTTGTTTGTTTGTGCCTTGTAGAATTCCATGTGGCCATTTCCACGGTCAGCACCATGCAAAAAGTGCACACGTCGGGTCACTTCGACTTTGGGACGATCTCTGTAGCGATCCTGTACGGAGTCGACGAGCTCTATGACGGCAGCCACGCGGACGCAATCGGCCAGATCCTGAAAGACGTTCATGTAAGTTTACGGAGGCGGGCAAAAGTGCTGTAAAAAGTTCATTGTACGAATGTCGAACTGAACTTAGTGCTGAAACTCCGAATATTAAATCGTTTTTTATTTGGTAAATATTTAGTAACGTCGCGTTCTAAAGGATCCAGAGACTTCATGTAGCAAGTTTCATGAATATTCCGCTGAGCCAGCATGGCCCTAAGATGGAAAAAGAAAGGACATCGACATGTGACTTGCATGAAGTGATTTTGATGTAGAATTCTAAAATTAGAGCTTGAATTAATTTTTTAAAGAACATAAACTATGATATGAAACTGCAAATAGTGTAGTTGTCAACAAATGAGTATAAACTGATTTATTGTTAAGTCCACGGGGAGGGAGGGGGGGGATTTGGTTTGTGGAGATATTTTGCTGCCCAGACCTGACGAAACTAAATAAACTTGCTTAGTTTTCATGCGGATTTAAAATAAGCATTTTTTTTTTTTTTTTTTGTGAAGGTCCACTAGTTTGCGGCGTCCCCTCAACTTGTTCCACATGCATTAATACACAGTAAAAGCAATGCCGATCACAGTTCTCAAATGAAATGGAAACTAGTGTTTCTGAAATTAATCAAACTTCCATTATGTGCCATGACTACCACAACAAGAAAGCAAAATTAAATTTTAAAAATTCATCGGTATGAAATGAGGATTCCGCTCTTACCACTTTGTCATAGGCAGATTGGGCTTTAGGTTACAAAAAATTTTCTCAGGTGAGATTGGTCTGGCTGATGAGAAGGCGCTTCTGATCGATTATTGGTGACAACCATTGCCTATAAGTTGCTAACAAAACTGTCACTGTCAGGGGTCCTTTAATGAGGTTTAAGCGTATTGTTAGCCAAACAGGGTTTGTATGTACAGTGCTGTGAAAGAAATCTGTCCTTTCTTTTTCTCTCTCTGCCACCCTCCCTGCTTTGCTGTTATCGTACGAGCAGCCCGAGCGTCAGTTGGTGGCCTTCAGCAGAAGCTGGCTGCCCGACATCCGAAACGCTGTCCTCGCACTGGCCAAGAACCCCGTCATCGTGCAGATCGGGGACGTCGAGACGGCGCCTCTGCCGAGCGGCGTCGCCATCGACGTCCGCATCATGGACGACGAGAGTGCCAAGAAGAAAGAGTGAGTGGCTAACGCGTTCTCACTGTATTCGTTAGTCCGTTCTTTAGCACACCTCGGCAGCTCTCGGACAAGCCCGGAGCCAACGCCCTAGAGAGAGTAGCAAAATAAGGTGGCTCGAAGACGCGGATCGGAGTTCCCTGTGATCTGTTTCGAAACTGTCGTCTTGCTGGACGATAATTCTGAGCTGTGCCCACCGAGAGCTAGCTTGAAATTTTGTTTCGGGAAGGTTGTGGATTCTTTAACCCTTTGTGGTCCAGAGATTCTCACTTACTTGGGGAAGCATTTGAACCCAGTACAGCATAGACTGCTTATAACGTAAGTTAGTGGAGCCACGAATATCTGTGGCATAAGTGGGCCCACATTGCCATTAAAAGCTGCACGAACCGAAACCATGTTGAGCTACCAGCTGCGCCTATCTGAGAATAAATACACGAGGCCAGGGTACTTGCCTCCCCTTACGCTTCACCCCACCGTGGTGGTCTAGTGGCTAAAGTACTCGGCTGCTGACCCGCAGGTCGCAGGATCGAATAACGGCTGCGTTGGCTGCATTTCCGATGGAGGCGGTAATGTTGTAGGTCCATGTGCTCAGATTTGGGCGCACGTTAAAGAATCCCAGGTGGTCAAAATTTCTGGAGCCCTCCACTACAGCGTCTCTCATAATCATATGGTGGTTTTGGTACGTTAAACCCCACATATCAATCAATCAATCCCATTACGTTGAAAATTAGTGTATGAGAACCCGCATTGCTGAGAAAAAGTATGCATGAGGGGGGAAAAAGACATAAAAAATTGCACCATCTCCTCGAAGGGGACCAGGGGTGATGCGGAACATCGTGGTTGTGCAGCGCAAGCAGTTCTTTTTTTCGATCGAGAAACTCGCTAGCAGACGCTGCCTGCATCGGCTTTGCGAGACGCTGCTGTGAGGAATGCCAGAAGAGAGGGAGGAGTCAGCGTAGGTTAGCAGATACTCCCTGCTTTGGTTTGCAAGGCAGGAGAGGGGAAGCATGGAGAGGGGAGGGGAGGCACACGTGCAATGGGGGAGCGAGCGCGAACAGGTAGAGAGAGTAACGGTTGAAAGAGCAGAGGTGGAGAGAGTAACTTGCAGCTGTTGGAGAGAGGGAAGCAGGAGAGCCGCACATGTGTAGTGGGAATGCGGACGCCAGACGCGTGACGTACCCACAAGCAAGAGATGCTCCGCATCTTAATAAAAACCCTTGCGTAAAATTTTTTGTCAAACTTTTCGGACCCCCTGGATAAACCAGGCTTCTTCGCATAGAACTGGACGTCACAAAAACAGTGTTGGCGCTTGTAACAATTTCTGAGGTCTGAAATGCTTTACTTAGCCCTAAATATGCATATTTTGTATTTCGAGCTATCGATATACAGCCAAACACGGATATATCACACTCGAAGGGGATCGTGAATTAGTTCGATATATGAAAAATTTTATATAAAAAAATACAGGGCCCGGGTGGATTAACCAGGCTTCTCCGCATAGAACTGGACGTCACAAAAACAGTGCTGGCGCTAGTAACAATTTCCGAGGCCTGGAATGAGAGACGTTTAACCCCCTCTCGCACGGTAGCGGATGTCGACTGTGGCACCGCGCGTGGGGTCTCTCGGGACATTTCGCGCGCGCGTCTGGAGTGAGTCGGACATCTCCGGACAACTGAGGGTGAGTACGTATTTCTTTTCCGTCCATCGACCTCTATTGTTTGGGACTCGTCGGACTTGGCCAATGGCACCTCGCGCTCGCGGTGAACGCTCACTTTTTGTTGCCCCTTGTGAAGACTAGGCTGAAGAGCGGTGCGGTGTCCTAGTGTGTGGCCAGGCTATGCCGACCCGTATCTCTCCGAAGCCAACGCGAGGGCCTTTGCCCTCGCTCGAGCAACCGGGCCCTTTGTCTCGGTGTCTCCGTTAATCACTTTTACCACGGAGACGTGCTCGCGGCACCCCTGTGTAGTACTTCTCGCCCGTGGTGTGGATAAGCCCATTCGCTTTTCCACCGTGCCTTTTGCAACGCGTTCTGTACAGTGTTTTTGGTGTTGCCGCAGACAATAAAGTGTTGCGACCTTGAGCAGTACTGTGTCCTCGCTACGGCGACGGTCAACGTGCGCCCTACGGCTCGCTGAGACCGAACGCAGGCTAGTGGCCGCAATCCTTCGGGATACGTGTACACTACAGCCTTAAATGCGCATATTCTGTATGTCGAGTTATGAATATACAGTCGAACACAAATATATCGAACTCGAAGGGGATCGCGAATTACCGTAATTACTTGAATCTAACGCGCACCTTTTTTCCGGTTAAGAGAGTTCATGAATCGCATGCGCGTTAGAATCGAGTACGAAAAAAAATGAATATGGTCATTCTATTGCCATCGGCACTTCCAAATTGGCCGCCCCCTACGGGCGTCGGCATGGCGCGTCGGCCATTTCTGCCTATGTGTTTCCCATGTGCGGCACTTCGTACGTGTGCTGAGGAGTTCGTCATGTTGTAGTACATTAGCATCGACGGCATGGTAGGGCCGACTCCAAAAACTCGACGAGTGTACCACAATGCTGCTTTTAAAAGAAAAGTCATCGCGTGTGCCGAAACGGGACAGAAATAGGGCCACATCGCGGTTGTTCGGAGTTCCCGAAACGTGCGTGCGGGACTGGCGAAAACAAAAGCAGAATATTGTCGACAGCAAAGATTCACGCAAAGGCTTCAGTAGACCACAGCAGGGTCGGTTTCCACAAATTGAAGAGCTGCTCGGTGAGTATGTGATTAAGCAGTGAGCGGCAAAGCGGCCCGTGACGACAGAACTGCTCCAAGTGCAGGCTATGCAGTTAGCCTTAGAAAAAGGGCTAATGCAGAGCCAGTTTAAAACGAACATGTGCTGGCTAACTAACTTTATGAAGAGGAAAGGCTTTTCCCTCTGAAGGCGAACGGGCATATGCCGGAAGCTGCCGGAGGAGTACGAAGAAAAGCTTCAGAGTCTTCAGAGGTTCCTCCTAAACTTGCGGCACAACAACGGCTACCTGCTTGGGCAAATCGGGAATGCCGATCAGACGCCTCTTTACTTCGACATGCCTGGCACCACATTCGTCGAGGAGAAGGGGGCGAAGCAAGTTCGTGTGCTGACGTCGGGCCACGGTAAAACTAAAGTGACAGCAATGCTTCGTTGCACGTCAGATAGGCACAAGCTTCCCCCGTACCTCATATTTAAGCGGAAGACGCTCTCAAAAGGAGTCGTTTTCCCGAGTGGTGTGATCAAGCGGGCCAACGAGAAAAATGGGTGCGCGTTGCAATCGATGTCTTGTTTTTTTTTTTTTTTTTTTCTTGGAAATCGGGCGCGTGTTACAATCGAGGGCACGGTAGAATCGAGTAAATACGGTAGTTCCATATATAAAAAATTTTATATACCGTATTTACTCGCATAATCCTCGCACTTTTTTTTGCCAAAAAACCGATGCAAAGTTGGGGGGTGCGAGAATTACGCCGGGTTAAACTTTCCACGAAAACGCAGAGAGCGAAAAAGAAAACGAAGCGGTCGGCGCTCAACAGGAGCCCTCAAAAGGTAAGCGTAGGACGTCGGTATTCGGCTGATGGCTATGAAACAAAATCGTCCGCAGTTTCCTTCTGAATAAATTAAGTTTACCATCAATCCCAGTTTTAGGCACACGGCGGGCCCAACGCGTCTTGGTGGCTTTCAGCTGCCGTCACCAGTAGCGAACACAAGACTCGTAGGCTCCGAAGGGCCTACCGGCGGCCCTGTTGCCGTTGTTTAGCGCATGATCTATTACTTGCAACTTGAAGCAGCCGTGTGGCTTCAGTATCGCCCCATAACGTGCCAAGATTACCGACACAACATACAAAACACGCCGCAACGCGCACTGGCCACTTCGGCTTGGCTTGGATTGAATTGAATTTCTGTGCAATAGTACGCTTGATGCTTAAGAGATAGCGCGCGCTATTGTCATCAGTGGCTGGAATGAGCAGGCGACATTATTGCGGCAGTTTTCGGGGGTGCAATAATTACTCGAGGAAAAAAAACGTATTTTTTTTGGCTGATGTGGGGGGTGCGAGAATTATGCATGTGCGAGGATTATGCGAGTAAATAAGGTAATAAATACAGCCCCGAGAGCTTACCTGTAGCCGACGATCACCTACAATAGGCGCATTCAAGAATGACAGCTTATACCGCACACACACTGCAGCAGAATGATTTATTTGCGTGAAAAAAATCGCTTATTTTTGCCTGCGTCTTCCTTTTTGAAATGTTGAAGACGTTAGTCTTGGTCTTATCTAGGCTGTCCAGGTGCGACAGCCCACTTCCCTCCATGTGGCCAATATAACAGCGAATGATGCCAAACGCTGCCGCCACTTCAGCGGCGAAGTATGCGCATGTAGCCAGCGCCTCGTCCGAACGATCCTCCTCGTCACATGAGCTGTCGGCCTGGGCCTGGACCGCAGCTACTATGTCCTCGCCAGTGAGGCTCGCAACAGCCTGGACATTGAAATCCGCTTCCACAAAATCGTCCGCAAGCACTTCATGTGGAACTGGTGCCGGGAAGCTGGGTGACAACTCTCGAAATGTGTCGTCTATGCGCTCGTCGTCGTCTTCGTCTTCACCGGTTTCCGCAAATTCCACCGTCTCGAAGCCTGCCTTGCGGAAGCAGTTGATCACTGTGTCTGTCTTCACGTCTTGCCAGGCGTTGAAGATCTCTGCGGCAGAAAACTTCGCGGAAATTTCTGGCCACTCCTTTGTCATCTACTGCTAGATGTCCTGGATACTGACAGCTTCGCTTTGGCCAAAAATTGTTTTGCCCATGATGTTGTAGCGCTGGTTAAAACAGTGAAGCCACTTGGTGTGGTTGGCGAAGTTGTTTAACAGCGGCAAATCATTTGGCCTTGGTCATCCACATCGGGCCATCCACCGGAATCTTCGCGTGCACTACTAAAAACCGGGCATAGAATGCCTTTTCTGCATTCCCATGAGCAGGAGCACAAACATG